CTTTAATTGATTGCTATGCCGCACTCAAAGCTCTGAGGAGGGGATCATTATTGAGGGCACTTATGAGGATGTCCACTTGTTCCTACAGGTATGGAATTTCTAAGTGTGTAGCAGGTAACATCACCAGCGCTGAGAGCCGGGTGTCAGTTGCTTGTCCCTCTCTTTGATGACATGTGTTCCAGTGTTATCCTTTTGGCATTGCTGGAAGGTGACTGCAAGAAACAGTCACATGAAGATTGTCCCTATATTTTCTTTTAAGATAGGGGGTTGTTGTTAAAAACACCTTAATCTCTGTTGTTCTATACTCTTTGAAAAAGAATAAGCATGCTTTGGAATTAGTACCAGAAAAATGCATTTACATTCAAAGAACTGATATCTATATTTTAAAAATCACTATTCATTACCCTCATTTTCTTTTCTGCATTGGCTTCCACAGAGCTCAGAAAGAAATGGAAAATATGGCTCAATCTTACTACATAGTCTTAAATTTGGGGTATATTTGCTTTTTAAAAAAATATATTTTTATTGATTTTAGGGAGGAAGGAAGAGGGAGAGAAGAAACATCAATGATGAGAGAGAATCATTGATCAGCTGCCTCCTGCATGACCCCTACTGGGGATCGAGCCTGAAACCCCGGCATGTGCCCCTGACCTGGACTCGAACCATGACATCCTGGCTCATAGGTCAACGCTCAATTTTGCTTTTCCATTAAAAAATAGCAATGATATTTTCTACAAGTCTTTTACTGTAAACCATTTCAGATCCTTTTTTGGAAGTAGTGAGGGTAAATTATGAATATTAAAACATTTCCTTTGTTTTGACTCATTGAGTGCTATGCTTCATTGTTACATTTTTAAAGAGTTGAGTTTTAAAAAATATATTTTTATTGATTTCAGAGGGGAAGGGAGAGGGAGAGATAGAAGCATCAATGATGAGAGAGAGCAATTGATCTGCTTCCTTCTGCATGCCCCACACTGGGGATCAAGCCCGCAACCTGGGCATGTGCCCCGACCAGGAATCAAACTGCGACCTCCTAGTTCATAGGTCGAACCTCAACCACGGAGCCATGTCCGCCGGGTTCGCGGGCAGGGTATGCTTCTGTGTTATTAATAAAAAGTTTCTGCTATGCACCACCACACTCCAGAGTTCTAAGGAAACCACGAAGTACAAAATGACTACAGATCTTAAGGGCCTTGAATCCAGTTGTGTGGCTAGAGCACTGTGGAGATAAGTAATGTCAGGTAGCGTATTCTTAAGGGATTTCAAAGACGCATTCTGTCCTAGGACTCTATAAGTTTAATTATTAACTTAGTAATATGAACATTTGCTCAAAGCATATTCTGTTTTGATTCAGATTAAATATTGATATTTTGGCTAACATTTCTCTGAGGGTGGTCAAAGTTCTTGGGTAACTTTGTTTCTGAATAAGTTTTCATAAAAGCAATTTGTATTCCTGGTAGAAATTTGGAAAATCAGGAAGGTATAAAGGAGCAAATTAAAGTCACCATAATCATACCTGGCGTTCATATTGCATAATATTACACAATATAAATGACACTTGATATCCTGCTTTTTCTACTTTATACTATATTGTGAGAATTCTTAGATACTAGATATTCTTTGGTCATAAGATTTTTATTTTGCAACATTTCATTGAATGATTATTGAAGACAATCGCTCAATGATTGTTGCAAAATAATCATTGTTGAATCCTATTGTTGAACATTTAGATTGTTTCCAACCTAACTATCCCCATCTATACTAATAAAAGGGTAATATGCTAATTAGACCAGACATCTTCCGGACAACCATCTGGACGTCCTTCCTGACAAAGCTGGGCCTGGGTGAAGCCGCCTGCCTGTGGTCCCAAGTGCCACTGGCTGTGGCTGTGGCTGTGGCTCAGGAGAGGGAGAAGCGGCCCACCCTGTGGTCCTGGGTGCCAGCGGCTGTGGCCTGGGCAAAGCTGCCCGTCCATGGTCCCCTGCAGCTGCGGCCAACCTGGGTCCCCGGTGCCTATGGCTGGCCAGAGGAGCGAATCTTGGGTCCTGGGTGTGGAGCTGAGGCAAAGGCAGTTAGGGGCACTCAGGCCAGCAGAGGAGCAGTTAGGGGAGATCAGGCTGGCAGGGGAGCAGTTAGGGGCAATCAGGCAGGTAGGCAGAGGTGGTTAGGGGTGATCAGGCAGGCAGAGGTGGTTAGGGGTGATCAGGTAGGCAGAGGTGATTAGGAACAATCAGGCAGGCAGGCAGAGGGTTTAGGGGTGATCAGGCAGGCAAGCAAGCGAGCAGTTAGGAGCCAGCAGTCCCAGATTTCGAGAGACAGGGATCGGGCCTAAACCAGCAGTCAGACATCCCCCATGGGGTCCAGGATTAGAGAGGGTGCAGGCTGGGCTAAGGGACCTCCCTCCCCTGGGGGCATGAATTTCATGCACTGAGCCTCTAGTTAAATATAATACTGTGGCCCTAGCTGGCTTGGCTCAGTGGATAGAACATCAGCCTGCAGACTGAGGGTCCCAGGCTGGGACCCTTCTGGTCAAGGGCATATGCCTAGGTTGCGGGCCAATCCTCAGTAGGGAGAGTGCAGGAGGCAGCCAATCAATGATCCCCTCTCATCACTGATGTTTCTATCTCTCTCTCTCTTCCTATCTGAAATCAATAAAAATATATATAAAAAATATAATACTGTGATCTACGTTTGTAATGGTAGTGAGCACAGCATTTATGAAGCACTGACAGTACCAGTATATGCCAAGCACTGTGCTCAAAGTACCTGACATGAATTATTTATTTCATATAATTCCGTGACATAAGAACTGTCATCCCTTCTTAAAGATGATGAAACCAAGAATTAGCAGTTAAAGTGCCCACAGCAAGGAAGAGGATTTAATCTCTAATCTGACAAAATATTTCAACTTGCTTTTCATGAATATGTAAATAGGACTGTTCCAGTTGCCCATAAAAATAGAAATAATTGGTTCCAAATTAAGAAATTTGTAAAGTTTTTCTCCATCCCCTTTGTCCTCCTTTATATTCTTTTCAAGGAAGAGAGCATCTAATAAATATTTAATGGGATGTTTGTGATTTTTTTCTTTAGTAATTATTCTACAGTGATAAAATAATATGTGCTATGTACCCTTAGAATCCTTATTTTTGGGTTTTACAGAAAACAGTAGGAACACTGGTCCCAGAAGTTAGCCTCTCATCTTTTATTAGAGAACAATAAAACCACTGTAATGAAGAGAAATAAAAACAAGAGGTGATAAAAATTCTGAATTTTATGGTACTTGGACACATACAATCCTATATAATAAAATGCTAATATGCAAATTGTTCCCTCGGGAGTTCAACTGCTAGCTATGACCTGCGCTGACCACCAGGGGGCGGCATGGAATGAAGGAACCTCCTGCTGGCAGCCAGCAGCTGGGTGCAGGGGTCCTCAAACTACGGCCCGAGGGCCACATGCAAATACAAATATTGTATTTGTTCCTGAAAGGGCGAGGGCTACGCCCTCCATCTTACCCTGGATCCTCCATGTTGGGGCAGAGGCCATGTGCTCAGAGAAGTGCCTTCTTCCCGAGCCCAGGCCCCTGCTGGCCACGCCCAGGATTTCTTTGAACTAACCAATGACAAGCAAGGTATGTGTGCGCCATAGAGATGACCCCATCCTGTGTAACAAGACCCGACTTGCGCCTGGCTAATCGGCAGGGCCCACAGCCAGCTCCCTCCCCTCACTATTAAAGCCCTGATTTTCTCATGGGACTCACTCGGTTTCTGGTCGCTGCGTGGACTGGAGGCCCGGGTCGGGTTAGCTAACTCAATAAAGGACCTTCTGCTTTTGCATCGGACTGGCTCCCTGGCGTGGTTTCTTGGAGATCTTGAACTCTGGGCATAACAGTTCCCGTTTTGTTTTTTTACTTCAAAATAAGATATGTGCAGTGTGCATAGGAATTTGTTCATAGTTTTTTTTTTAAACTATAGTCCGGCCCTCCAACGGTCTGAGGGACAGTGAACTGGCCCCCTGTTTAAAAAGTTTGAGGATCCCTGAGCTGGGGGAAGGAAGGCCTCAATTGGTCCTGATCACTGATCAGGCCTAGGGAACCCACTCGTGCATGAATTTTGTGCACCAGGCCTCTAGTGTTCATATAATTTTAAGTATCTGAGGAAATGGAACTGAATGAAAGTATTTAGCAAGCTGAGGCCCTGCCTCACTCCCACTGTTTTAATGAGTAGATAAGGATGATTTGCAATCAATACATCGTCTGATGGCATGTAAAGTCAGGGCTTCTAAAGTGCTTAACGAAGGTTGAAATGGTTTCATTTCTTAAGTAGTTCAAACTATCCACTGTGGCTCACTACATCCTTTTGAAACAGTGTCAAACCAGGTCTGAACTTTCACAGTCTCAATCGGAGAATTCAGAATTCAATGAAACTTTAAAGTGCCCAACGAGTCTAAAAATACACTACCAAATCTGGTCCAATCCTGAGGGATTAAATTGTGAACATCCTGGAACTAAAATCTAATGACTTGGGCACCCACCCAGTGGGCCATTGAAGAGGGAAGAATTGAAAGTTTAGTTAAAGCTAGTTTCTTCCAGGTCAGCCCTAGGTGTCACAGACGAAGAATTAAAAGCCTGAGAAGTGAAAGAATAAAGGAGGAGCCAAACGTGCTTTCCTGACCGAAAACTTCTATGGGGAAGGAACCTTTGCTTTTTCTAGGCAAGAGGCCTCCAGCTGGCCCCCAGCCCGCCACCCCGCACTGCGCCCGTCCCGCGCCGCTGCCATCGCTGCCATCGGGTGTAGCCTCGGCGTCCTCCGGCCCCGGGCCCCACCTGGAGTCTCAGCGGCACGGGCGCCACTCGCCTTCTACCAGCAGCAACAGCAGCAGCAGCAGCAGCAGGAGGAAGAGCAACAGGATCAGCAACATTGCGCGCCTTTGGGGGGGTGGGGGGATGGGGAGGATGGGGGGGCGGAGGAAAGCAGGAGGGCTGCGGGGCGGAGGTGAAGGGAGGGCGCAGTGGGGGCTGGGCGGTGGCACCGGCGTTGCCTCGGTGCCCGGGGCGCGCGTCCCTAGCAGCCGCCGCCCACGTCAAGGTTTGTTTAATAATCGCCCGGGGATTTAAGGCCTGGGCTCGCGGCGGGCCGCGGGGGAGCCAGGAGACCGCGCCGGGCAGCGGATGAGGCGCGGAGGCTGTGGCCCAGGGCACCTCCCCCCGGCTTCCCCAAACCCTGCCCGGTCAGACCCGAGGGGGAGGATGGAAACATCGGCCGAACTCTGAGCCCCTCAGGAAGATAACACCCTTCCCGCCCAGTCGCCCTGCGGTCCAGCGGAGGCCACCGACTCGTTCCCTCCAAGTCTCCATCTCCCCGAGCCGGACCGAGCGGAAAAACCAGCGATGGCGGAAACCCTGAGGAAACTGGTCTCCAACGATTTTTTACGAACGATGTACGAGAACCTGGAGCTCTGGCAGAGGGATTACAACGTGAGTCGGCGTGGGAGAGCCTGGGCTGGCTTTCCCTCCTTACACAGCCCTCCGCGGGGGGTTTTTAGGCCTGGCATCGGGGTGCCGCTTTGCAAAGCCCCGGGGATTGTGATTGCCGGGAAGGCAGGACCGGCAGGTGTCTGCTGGCGGCGCCGTTTTCTTCCCGCGACGCGAGGCGGCGCTGGGGATGCGCTCCGGCCCGAGTGAGCTGTAGAGAGCGCAGCCCCTTTAGTGGTAACCAAGGACGCTGGCGGCCCTAGCAACGGAAAAGGCCTTCGATCTGCCAGGGGTCTGAAGGTCAAGCCCTTCACGCTCCCTCCAGTCGCTTCCGCCAGCAATCCACCTCCCTATCGTCATTCATCTCGAATGTTTTTTGTTTGTTTTTGTTTGTTTTTTACTACACTCCAACCCCGGCTTCTCCGCAAGTCTCTCACTAGGAAGATACCAGGGGTTGCATCAGAATAGATTTTTAAAAGAACACACCCAGTATTTATTATCCAGAAGTGAGTGAAACGGTCACTTCTCAACCTTGCGGGTTTCACTGGTGTGCTGGTCCACATGGCCTGTAGGCGCAGCTTCAACACCAAGGCAGACTTCAGAAGGCCTGTTGCCAGGGCGTCTGTAAGAGGCCAATATTCTGTCATTGGACCCAAAGCGCTCTTCAAGTCTCTAACCCCCTCCCCACGGAGAAGATAGAACTCCACTGCTAAATTTACTTGACATTTGGTCCGTCCGTCTTAAATAAGACCCTTCCACTCTTAATAGCAAGTAGAACTAACTGCGAGGCAGACAGAGCTGGGGACCCGGAATCAACACCCCTAGGTTCTGGGTCTGGTTCTGCTTGGTACTGGCTGAATGACCTGGGCTGTTTATGTAACCTCTCTGGGTCCCGGTGAAAGGGGAGAGACTGGACTAGATCATACATAACGTTCCTTCCGGATCTCAGTTTGTTGAGTCTCCACCTGCTTGTTTCTAAAATCCCACAGGAAAAATGCAACTGGCTGCCGGCCTGTGTCCCTTAGACTTTCCCACTCACCCTTTAACCAGAGCTCCCAAGGTGGGTGGGTAATTCAAGAACAACTACAGCTTTCTCCTGGGACCTCCTTCCTAGTGTTAGTGTTTATCCCCTTTGTCCTCTTTTAAAGAACCCACACTGATGATTCCTTCTCCAAGATTGCAGGAAATTAAGATTTACCTCTTTATCACAAAGGCCTTGGGTCCCTCCCATGCCCCCTCCCCCCCTTAAAAGTGCCTACTTGCTGCAAAGTCTCAGAATAATTGTTAGGCCCTATGACTGGACATCTCCATCTGAAGGTCCTGCAGACCCCCTAACCTGTCCCCAAAACAGCTATACCTCTCACTTGTTTCCAACCCTCCCAACTTCCTCCTCCGGTAATGCCAGCATCCGTGGGACCTTAGTAGATCCAGATGTGATATGGGGCCTTTAGTGGACCCTTGGCATCTCCACCGCCCTCAACATCTATCAGCCAGATGTTAAAACTGCCTCCTGCCCTGCCAGGCAGACTCTCTAATCCAAACTCTAGAGTCTGCTTCTGCCAGATTGATTTTTGTAAAACGCAAAGCAAATCTGACCAGGTCATACCCACACTCGTTCACTCACCCTGCTAAATCTTTCAGGGATGGGGTGAAGCCCAGAGACCATGTGACGAATAAAGCCTTTGCTATTTGGTCCCTGGACCCTGTATTCCACTTTCCCCTATAATATACCTTGTTTCTTGCCCTGTTACCTGCTGTTTCTCCCCTTGAAATGCCCTAACCTTTTACCCTTCACCCATCACCAGTGTGAGTTTTGCCCCTTCAGCAGCTCACTATCCACCCAGAACCCTTAATCAACTATAAGGTAATTATTTAAGTCAGGTATGTTTCCCATTCTCCCTCCTGCTTCTCCAGCCAGTGAGCTCATTGACAGCAGGCAACATTTCTAAATTTTTATTTATTTTTAATATGGTGTTGTGTCCTGAGCTGCCAGCCCAAGTCCTTACATACAATAGAAACTCAATGATTTATGAATGAAGGAATCTTGAGAGTCTGTGCTTTGGAATTAGGAGATAGTATAATTAGTTCATACCTGTATTTTATTTACCTGTTGAGTACATGTTTGGTAATGTGACCCTATTGAAACTTGAGTATCTTGGGCAATGTTTTGTGTTAGAAGTTGCAGCGTGTTATGACATGTCTTGGGAACAGGAACTGACAGTATATTCTCTTCTGTTCTTTAAGTTGTGCAGACAAACATTTGGCAAACATTCCATTGAGCACGTACTTATACCAGGCATTTGGCAAGGCGAAGGAGCATCTATAATAATAAAAGTGTAATATTCTAATTAGACCGGACGTCCTTCCAGACGGTCTTCTGGATGAAGCCAGAGCTGTGAGGGAAGCCCAGGTCCCAGGTGTCTGCTGGCAGCTGGAAGGAAGCCCAGGTCCCAGGTGCTGGAGGGAAGCCCGTGCCAGCAGCTGGGGAAAGGAAGGCTTACTCTTGCATGAATTTTGTGCATCAGGCCTCTAGTATTGTAACAGTACCCTAATAATACTTTTAATTATTTTGTATCTCCTCTATTCTGCACCTAAGTTAGCTCATGAGATAAACCACCTCCTAGATACAAGCAACGGTGGCTCATATTTGAAATTTATTTTCTAGGGGAATGTGACTAATAAGTGGAGAACCAGATTTGAACCAATGTCTACCTTATTCCTAAATCCACTGGTCCTTTCAATACCGAATGCCACTTCAAGGCACCAATTGTTGAACACTTCTGTCTCTGAGATGCTGAATATGCATTATTTTGATTTAATTCTCTTAACATTCTGCAAGGCATTATCTATCCTTATTTCTGGAGAGGAGATGGGCTCAGAGAGGCAACCTGTGCCGCATCACATAGAACTTGTGGCAAGTGGCAAAGCTGAGACACTGCTTCAGGTCAGCATGACCCCTGGTACGTGGTATGGTCTAGCCAGGGGGCAGAAGGCTGAAAGGGGAATTGAAGGTCAGTGTTACAAGTGCAGGAGCGAAACAGCAACGGCAGGGAGCTGCTGGTTCAACAAGGAAGGAATGGAGATAGCTGTGTAAGCTGTGTGCTCCAAATGTTCTAATCAAATTCAGTATTGGGCTAAGTCACGCATTCATTTATTCACTCATCCATCAAATATTGTTGGGCCCTTTGATTTGCTATGGATACGAGTGGCAATTGATACAAACACGAGACATGCAAAATCATTTTAAAAAAACACATAGTCTTCTTAGGAAAAAGGGAGAGACAGAGAAACAAATGGCTAAAACAGAAATAAATGCTACAACAGAGCTCGTCACCAGGTATTATTTACCTGGCATGGAAAAGAAGCCAGCAGCTCCCCTAGTAATGATGAGTCCATTCTATCCAAACTCCTTGGAAGGCCTGCCGACCTCTCTGACCTCCTGTGGTCTCCTTGAGAACCTACTTTTGGTTCTCAAGGTTTTCAAACTCCTTTTTGTCATGTGGCCTTTTCCCCTGCTGTTCCCACAACCCGACAAACTCCCTCTCTAGCCTCTGCATTCAGGACTTAATTCAGGGTCTCCTCATCAGAGAAGCCTTCCCTAACCCCCCTTCTCATTCCCTCTTTGCCACATCATCTAGTCTTCCCTCTACTCCCAGCAATAATCACCATCTAAAAGTCAGTATCCAGGAGGGGTGAGAGCATGAGTGGGGATGGGGGTTGGGGGGCAATGGGGGAATAAGGACACATATGTTATACCTTAATCAACAAAGAAAAAAAACATATAAAAACAATAAAAAAAAACATAAAAAATAAAAGTCAGTATAGTTTAGTGGTTAAGAGCATGGGATCTGGAACTAGGCAGCTAAGGTTCTGACTTCAGTTCTGACATTTTATTAGCTAAGCAATCTTGGGCAAGTTATTTAACTTCTGTGCATCTCAGTTTTCTCATCTGAAGTTGGGAATAGTAACAATGGTACTTCTATCTCGTAGTGTGCTATTGTGGGGCTTAACTGAGCCTATATATAGAAGCATGAATAATGCCTGGCACTTAGGAGGGATGTAATAAATCCAAAATGAGTGAATTGTCTATGTTCACTCATCCATCTAGTTACTTACTGTGTTTGAATATATACTCTAGAATGCAGGGCTGGAAATACAACAGTGAATGATCAGGGCAGGCACAGCCTCTGTCCACAGGGCACTTCCCTTGTGATACCGATATGCATTTTTCTTGTCAACTTTTGGCTAGAGGTCATCTAAACTTTTCTTATCTATTCTAGTTTCTATCCTCCTTGTGAGGCACTTCCTGTCTCAGGATTTATAGTGCCCACTACTAGTGCCTTATAATGGCTTGAGATGACATATCAGTCTATGCATGTTTACTCCCACATGATTTGTTGGTTGCTTACAGTTATGTCCCTTCCTTTAGTATTAGACGCAATGAGAGGTTCAGCTAATGAGAAAGAGTAGCAGTTCACCAAGGAGATGACAAAAGCAGGATAATAGCGACAAGACCTACCTCTTGGCTTCTTCATGTTCTGCCCTTACTGCTTAGATGTTCCACAGCCACTTGAACCAACCCTTTCCCCTAGTCTGCCAATGTCTTATCACCTAGATTTCACTTCCTCTTGGGAAGAAGTCTTCTCTGACTTTCGAAGACAATGGGCTCTTGAGTAGACCTGTGTTCACCCCCATGGTAAGACTGACTACCCCACTGCAGGGTAACTGTCTATCTCTTGTCTCCCCCACTCGTCTGCAAGTGCCATATGGCCTGGCCCATCTTTTTTGTCTTATTCTCCATTATCCTCAACCCAGCAATACCTGCTTACTGTTAACAGGTAGTGTTCTTTATGTACATATGGAACTTAGGTAGAGGACAAGAACCAATACAGCAGGTAAGTTAGGGAGCAATGATTTGTACTGTTATAAAAGGCTTATTCACTTTATGAAAGGACTTGTTGCAGGATTCTGTTGAGTAATAATGAGTCAGGGTTAATGATATTAAAATGACTCCCAAACCTTAGTGGTTTAAGACCCACAAGTACTTTCTCAGTTATGTAACAGTCTTTGTAAGTGTTCAATTAGCAGCTTCCCAAATCTTGTGGCTTTATCACCCGCTAAGCCTTTGGGGTCCTCTGCAGTTAGCTGGCAGATGGGGCAAGCAAAAAAGAAGAGAATCCCTCAAGAGGTTTTCTTCAGGGTCACACCCCAAAGTGGCACACATCACTTTCCTTCCCATGGACCTGAACTCAGTTACATGGCCCCACAAACAAGCTGGGGAAAGCGCTCTAGCTGTGTGCCCAGGAGGCAAGGTAACCGTGTTTTGATGAATGCACAGCAGTGTTTGGCTCTGGGAGCATACCAGAGCCAGGCAGCCCTGGTATAAAGTGAGGCCCTTGTCTACCTGCCGTGGGGGAGAAGAATTACACTGATGTCTACTGTTTTGGCTTTGCAGACAAACTCATGTGATCAGAATCTAAGTTTTTGCCTGGAATTCATTGAACAAGTTGCCAAGATTCAGGGACAACTCTTTGGAATCCTCACTACAACAGCTCAAGAAGGTGAGTATGTCCTGAACTTTCCCATCCAGCCCCCACCCCTTTTCTGTGTGCGCTCTGACTGAGTTGGCGTGCTTGGGTTTCTCTCGCTGACCTGATTTGTGGATTCTTCTAGGAGGACGTTATGATGGTGTGGAAGTAATCAAATCACGCCTTTTGCCTTGGCTGGAGACCGCCTTTACTGCTGCTTCCCTGGGAAAACCTATTGACAGCAAGGTCCCCTCTCTGCAGGTAAGGATGCTAAAGGATTCCCCTTGATTTTCAGCACCATGGTCAGGCTCTGTGAACGCAAACATTCATGATATGGTTTTGACCTAGAGAGGGACTCAACTCTACTTGGGGAGTTGGGACACAGGCATAAAAGGTGAGTTCCTGTTTACAGTACTTTGGGGCATATTGGATTGAATTTTCTCTTAAGACAAACCTGGATTCAAATCTCAGCTTCGCTTACTCACTAGTGGGATGACCAGGCAAATCAATGAGCCTCAGCCTCCTCAGCTACAAAAAGGGCCTGGGGAGGATCTACATCTGAGACATTGCTTGCCCCACACAAGGCCTTAAATAGTAACTTTTAAACGATGAATTAGTCCTCCAGACAAGGTACCAAGGGGTTCAGGAGAGAAAGAGATTATCAGATGGGGAAAGCTCAGTATTCGGAAAGAGTGAAATACAATTAATTGGAAAATTCCAAGATAAGAAGAAAGCTCAGTTCTGGTAGACTCACAGAGGGTCTCATATTTCGTGGTTGGTCCTGGTGGTTTCCATGGACAGTGTCAGTGTCTTAACAGGGGAAGATCAGACTGGAGACAGAACATATACTTTGCTTAAGGCATTGGCATTATTATATTGGGCTAAGCAAAACATTAGTGACCTTGATTTTAAATGCTTACATGGATCTCCATAAAATTCTTTCCAAAATTAAAGCATGTCGAGCAGGCTGTTCTAAGCAACAGGGTCTCATGAGGTAGTGGCTGAAGGATTCTTCTTTGGAGGTCACCGGACAGAATTTTTGTCCCTCTTCTATAGTCCTGGGGAGGTTGTCTAACCTTTATTTTTTAGTGTCCACATTTGCTCAATGGGGACAATGCTTTTGCTGGCCTAATAGAGTCATTGTGAGAATTAAACGTGATAAGCATGAGAAGCAACAGCTATGTGGTAAGTACAATAGTCATCAGTTGTCTTAAAGCAATCTCCACCCCGCTCCCCCCCACCCCCGGGGATTTTCATATGCTTTTGAAATTTTTACCCTCTATGCATGTTATTCTCGGTATAGACATATAGGATGATGTTTAAATGTCTGTTTTTAGAATCGAGGTATAACTTACCTACAGTGGCACCCATAGGTTGATGAATTGTGACAAATGCACATGTCCAGGTAACTCGCACTCCTATCAAGATCTAAAACATTTCCATCACTCCAGAGCATGCCTGTGCCACTTCCCAAGCATGCCCCTCTGCCCCCAGGGCAACCACTCCTCTGACTTTTATCGTTCCAGGTTAATTTTGTCTGCCAGTGAACGGAACATACATTATATGCTTTTTTGTGCTTGACTGCCTTTGTTCAGCACAATACTTGTGCAACCTGTCTCTGCTATTTCATGTACTCAGACGATTTTTTGACATGTGTATCTTTCTAGGACACGTTTGAAAGGGAGAGACAGAAAGAGGCTGGGGCTCGAGATCGGGAGATGAAACAATTAGAAGTGGAGCTGAGCTCAACTCATAATCAAATCAACCAGATTCAAGACGAGTAAGAGGAATGCAAGTTATCTTTTCCCAAAAAGAGTTGTTTGTTCTTTATTTAATTTTTAAGTGTGAAAGGAAACTCATGTAAAATGTAGGCATTTGCTAATAAGTAATAAGTAATATGGTGTGTGTGTGTGTGTGTGTGTGTGTGTGTGTGTTTATGTGTGTGTGTTGGGAGTCAGTGTCTTTGAGTTTGGGGCCAGGATTTCCATATGATCCCTAAGGCCCTGGTCCCTTTGGCTCCATTCCTGGAGCCCCCTCTTTTCCATAGGCCTGTTGTCAGCCCATATTTATAAACAGAGGAAAATTGTTATATGAAAATCTATTTTCAGGGACGGAAATGAGAAAGGATGCAGAGGGAAAGGGTTAAGGAGGGTAAATAGAAAAATTAAGAGAAAGAGAGCAAAGGCAAGATGAAAGCAGGCTGCATGTATTTGTTTGTTGTACTTACTTAGGGGGTGGGACTGAGAGATCAGACTTTTTAAATGATGAATAATTCAAGATTCTGGAATAACTATTTGATATAAAAAAGTATTTTAAAAAGTTAAGCAGTGTCAGGCAGCATATCAGATGCCTGGTATGTACAAAACCAGGCTAGTAAGCTCAAGGAATCACTGCAAAGAAAATTGAAAACTTTGGGTCATACTTGAGGAAGATAGACCTGTGTGTATGAAACTGCACTCAACACACCTAACAGGAGCCCATCAATCAATAAGGTATTTCTCCTCCCACAGCATCATTTCATTGCTGACATGTATGGGGAAACAGGGGATTCTGTTTCTAACTAGTTCAGGCTAATAATGGAATAGGGTATGGCATTCTGCCTTGTTTTCTGATGAGCTTTCCTCCTCATAGAAAACATCTCTACTGACTTAGAAAATTGCCTGATTAGAAAATACAAGTTTCTTTCTCAAAATGATTACAATAAATAAGAGTATGCAGATGAAAATCAAAAGAAAAAAAAAGATGAAAATCATCTGTTATCTCATCCCTGTTAATATTTTGGTATATTTTACTCCAGACCTTTTTCTTTGTGTGTGCTTGCATGCATCTCCACACCCCACCTCCCCCCATGCATTTTTCTAATTGGAGCCATCATCAATGAGCAGTTTTATAGCTGCAACAAAGTTTACAACTGCAAGGTACAAAAAGGATAATTCCTCTGAATTTCTACAACTCATTTCAACTAATGTCAGCTGATCTGGAGTGGGGCGAGGAGGATCCTTAAATGTGCCACTTCTTTTCTGGTTTATGGTAGTTCTTTTTGTGTAAATATTCAGTTAATTCCAAGTTCAGACTTTCCTTAGGGGCTGTGTTTGCTCTCTCAAGGGGTCTAATTGCCCTCCTGCTTCCTTAGACTGACATCTAGGAGTGAGGGATGCTGGGGCCGGAGGAGAGGGCCTTTGGCTGTGTTCTGCCTGCTGGGTTCTTGCCTCAGTTCCTCTGGGACACTGACGTCTTGTGCCGCTGGAGGCTGAGTTGTGGCTTGTCTGGTTAGGCCGCCTGGGGGCATTTACTGGCCTCTGCTGCTGATGACCAGGTCTCTCCATTTGCCTATGGTTGCTTGGGAGCTTGCTGATTCTCTCTTTTATCAGTAGCAATAGGAGCCAGGTTCCTACCTCTCTCTCTTGTCACTATGGATCAGTAGTTAGCTGTAAGGGGCACCATGGACTAAGAAAAAAGGACTGTATGCATTTTTAAAACTTTTTATTTGGAAGTAATTTCAAATACAGAAAATTTGAAAGAATAGTACTAGAAACACCCATATACCCTTTAATATACCTTTTCCCCTACTTGCTTGATCATGTGTGTGTTTCTCTTTATCTGTGTAAACGGCCCCTATTCCCCACCGTCCATTTGAAAGTTGCACACTGGAAGGTGCTTGTTGCTTTTCTCTGAATTTCCTGGTTTTGTTTTTGTTATGAACTCAGATGTGGCTCATATTATATTTTTATTGAAGGTATTACACATGATGAAGGCTGTTCCCCACCTTCTGTGGTAGTCAGCTCTCTCCTCCTTCTCTTACTCTGCCTACCTCTGTCTCTAAAGCCAGGGTGTTACCTGTGGCGGAATGAGTGACCCACCCAAGGAGGTTCCCATGTCTGTCCTCAAGGAGACCAGTTTGGTTGTGACTCAGTTACAAAGGTGCAGATTCCAATACAGTGCTGAGTGCGGACAGGTCTGCCCAGGCTTGATGAACTCTAGACGTGGAAAGACTGCAATATACTCATTGATTTTATGCCTGGACTCTGGTTAGGAGTCTCGCTTTTCTGCATTTCCTATACCCAGTCTATTAGAATAGAGTTGAATCTGCCTCCTAAGCATCCCACACACTGGTCCCTTTCTTTCTATTGCACTGCCATTGCCCTGGTTCAAGCTTCTGATACCTCTTGCCTCAACTCATTGCCTCCCAACTGGTTTCCCTGTTCCCATTCTTGCTCTATTACAAACCATTTCTCACATAGAACATATAGATGTGTTTTTACTTTATTAAGTCATCACTCTGCTTACACGCTGTGAGCAGCCTTCCCAGGGCCCTGCACGCTCTGACCCCACCTCTGGCTTCACCCTCATCTCATGTCAGACTCCCCTCACCTAGTCTACTGTCCATTTCTTCTTCACTGTGAGGCCTCTGCCTGTGTTCCTTCAGAACAATGGCAGTCTCCCACGGGCTCTTTGCAAGGCTGCCTCTTGAGTATCTTCAGGCCTCAATTTAAATGTGACTTTCTCAGAGTCTGCTCGTGACCACTATACAGCAAAGGGTCTTTCTTCTTCCCCTCCTTAAGTTCCCTTTCACGATGACCTAACAATAGCACTTTCCACAATTTGGAACATTTAAACACTTGTTTGCATATTTGTGTTCTGATGAACTGCATATTTGTGTTGATGTTTTGACACTGTTGTATCTTTAGCAGCCAGCATTGTGCCTGGCACATAGTAAATTCTCAGTAATTTGATCAATGAATGAGTAAGTCCATAATAAAATATTTAAAAAGCTGCTCATCAGCTTAAAACAATTCTTGGCACATGAATGTTCCTCTTTTCTCTCTGTATGTCAGCCAAGGTTACCAAATTAACATGTATGTTTGCTTATATGTAAATGTACTCACACATATATGCCATGTTTTGAGAGGGGAAAAAACCTACTTTATTCCTGTTCATACTCTTTCATTTCTTAGTCTATCTTGTTCTTTTAATTTTCTACAGTTTTCTCTTAATAAAATGTTTACTTTCCTCATATATACTTTTAAAAAATTATAACATGTTCATATTTGAATTAGATCACAACAATTTCCTGTCAACCTCCAGTAGGCCTGGAGTCATTGCAACTATGGCTTTGTTTTAGACTTTAGACATTTTGTTCATTAATTTTCAGGGTTTGTTTTTTTTTATGTGTGTGTGTGTGTGTGTGTGTGTGTGTGTGTGTGTGTGTGTTTGAAAAATCTACATTGTGACAGGCACTGTTTTAGGTGCTCGGGATAAAGATATGAATAAAATAAAATCTTTGCCCTCAAGTCGTTCACAGTGTGTTTGTAATGAGGTTGTAAGTGTGAGCTGAGTGTGAAAGGAGCCCCAGAGAAGGGGAGACAAACTTTTCTTGAGAGAGTTAAGGGTGGTAGAGAGTAGCACTTGAAGGATGAGGACAACGGTGAGTTTAGATAGCATTTGCTCTCTCTTAGCCGCAGGACTTTGGTGAAAGCGATGTTCCAGGGAGGTAGGGTCAGCTAAGTCAAGAAACCTTTGCCAACCCATGTCTCTCACTGCACTGGGGCAACTTAATTGAGGACCATTGGTCTTCATCCATTGCCATCCAGTACATTCCCATTTCCTTTTAAATTTAGACAGATGTAAAGAAATAGTATAATTTACTATGACATCTACAATGGAGGGAGTCATTAAAACTAACAGTAACTGAGCTATGCAGAAAACGCAGGAAACTCGTGCTTAGTAAGTGATGGAAGTTAGAGGCAGGAAGACATGAAATAGTTGGTAGTCAAGTATAATTGTGGAGGGCTTTATAGGTGAGCACATTTTTTTTATATTTAGGAAGTCGAAAAATTAAGTCAAATTCAGCTTTATAGTGCAAAGTAATCAGAATAGGTATTAGTATATTACAGAAAAATGAAGATTTTATAGAGTAAGGCAATGTAGGGACTTGGTATAATTAGAGCAGTGGTCAGCAAAGTGCGGCTCGCGAGCCATGTGCGGCTCTTTGGCCCCATGAGTGTGGCTCTTCCACAAAATACCGACTTCTGTGCATGGGCCACGAAGTTTCAATCGCACTGTACGTGCGCGCCCGCATGTGGTATTTTGTGGAAGAGCCACACTCAAGGGGCCAAAGAGCCGCATGTGGCTGGTGAGCCACAGTTTGCTGACCACTGAATTAGAGCAAATGAATTAGGAGGGTGAGAAGGAGGAATTGAACAAGTATTTTTATCCTTTACATTTTAATATGAATAATTATTACATAGTCTTTTAGGGGGTAGTAGATTTATAATTTCTTTGTGTTTGACATTGAAGAAGGATGTTAGAATGCTTTTGCATATAATTGCATTATAATATTTGTAATATCACCTGATTGAATGCAGATGTCTTATAATTTGATCTTGTTTATGTCGAATTTATATCATATGCCAAAAGTTCCCAAGAGAGAAGGAACCTATGCCTTGATTTAGAAAGTCTGCCTATTTTGGAAAATCTGTCTTTAGTTACTGATTTCTCTTACAGTCTGCCTGACTCTCCAAAGACTCTTGAAGCAACCAAGAACAGTTCGGCCATATCCCTTTTGGCTGCAGAGGAGGAAATAAATCAGCTAAAAAAGCAGTAAGGAAAAAAATAAAAAAGACAGGAGCATTGCAGCCTGCTGATTAATCTTTGCATTTCGCTTTTTTGGTGTTCCATTACAATACGAAAGAATCTGTTCACAATCAAAGAGGAAAGGGAACAATATTTTTATTAGTGTTTTATATATTGTTCAAAAACGTTACCTACCTACTGGAGAGAATTTCCAAAGCACAGTGTAATATAAAGGAAACTAAAGACCCGCTCATAATTCCAGAACCAGTTACTGTTACCATCTGACATTTCTTCCAATTCATACATTAGAAATAGAGTTAAGGCTACAAAATAAGTGTAAGTTTATAACTTTGGACCCCAATTGTTCAGTTAACATTGTTTCCCCCTTTTACTAAAACAAACAAACAAACCTTCTGCAGAACTTACTTCTGAATAGGTGCATCATGTTCCATCATTTGGGTGTTTCTTTAATATCAACTATTTACTTTGATACCAATTTTCAGCATTGGAAATAACGTTGTGATGATTTCTGTAGCAAATCTTAGTTAAATTTCTGGGTATTCTCTAAAGATAAATTTCTAGAAGGGGAAAACAAACACTGATAATTTAAGGTTATATACCTTCCTTGATTTTCATTTTGATTTTCCCTCCATCCCAAAGAGCAAGTAAACATTGTATTAAAAATATATATTATATATATTATATAATAATTTTTAAGTATATAATATACTATATAATATATATTTATATTATATTTAACATATAATATATACTATATATTTTTTAATATATGAATACTGTTCTGTTGCTTCACACACATTCCAATTGTTCTGATTTCTTCAGGAATCCCCCTAAATTTTAGCTTGGAGAACTCTCCTATTTTCCACATAAATCTCCCCTTTCATCACTTTAATCTCTTATTCCTATTTGATATACCTTCTCAAATGCATTGATCAGATCACTCAGTGATTCTGTTCTTTACTGCTTCTAGCACAGCTTTGAATTCTGCTGTTGGCGTTTTTAGCTTCTCTACATCCTTCTCAATCTTACCCCTTACACTTCCGTCTCACACCATTGTCATTTTCATCACAGCATGTCCTCTTTGTGTGGCTTTTGCTCCCGTTTTACGATGGCCATGCCTCTTTGTATCTTTATGAGGATGCCAATATTATTTCTGAACCTCCGTTTGTTTCTGTAATACATTATTTTCGTAGGTCCACACTGCCACCTAGTCTTGTAGGTGTTGTTCAATTTCCGTTGTAGTTTCTCCCCATAGTTCATAACACCTTTGCCCAGCTTCTGGACTAGGTTTTGGAGGTCAGATGCTTCTAGAATTTTGTGTGGTTCATATCAGCCCAATCTAGAACAATATGACTACAGGTCCACTCTGCTTTTGCTGGAGGGTCTGCATAGCTTTCTTTTCTTCGGAAGTATTTTCCAATGCAAGCTGCAGAGGTGGAGTGGCCCCCTGACCCTGCAATCTACTCTTTGCTAATCTGTGTTTGCTCCTATGTATTTCCTTTAGAGTTGTCCAATGCAATAATGGCACACGAAGTAGAGTAGCCTCTGTTTTAAGTACTATGCCAACTGTTGCTTATTACCTTTCCTCCCTCCCTCGCTTCTTTCTTGACTTACAAAATAATTTTTTTTTCTCTCTTCAGGCTTAAATCTCTTCAATCCCAGGAGGAGTCCCGCCAGAGAGGCTCAGCGCATAGAGCCGCTGTGCAAAAGAGCTCAGAGCGAGGTGCGGAGCCCAGAGGTGCGGAGTCCAGAGGCCCGGAGTGGAGGATCTCAGAGTTGAGGCGGTCAGAGCATCGCAGCTCCGAAAAGCGCAGCGGCTTGGACAAGCGCATCTCCGGCTTGGACAAGCGTGACCGTGACCGTGACCGTGACCGTGACCGTGACCGTGACCGGTGTGACCCCGAAGTGATATCCGATTATGAGAAGCAGGTCCGCTCGCTGAAGGACGAGATCGCTGCTCTGACGGCCGAAAAGTCTGCCCTCCAAGGAAGGTCTGACACATTCTCACACAGCTTCTCTCTTAGTGCCTGTGCTAGTGAAACAACACAGTAACTATTACTGTGGTTGGGAAACCAAGCAAAGTGACTCCCTTGAACCCAGACCCCAACAATACGGGAAGCTTTGAATGGTAAATTGTCTTCTCTATCTGACCCTTCGGAGAGAGAGAAACTACCTCCTGGATTGCCAAATCCAGGCACTCGTGGGTGTGGGGCTGACGCGGAAGCGTAAGGCATGGGGCTGAGCAATGTGAGAAAGGGAAGTTCTTCGGCTTGAAACCAGAGCTGAGCGAGCCCGTAAGGCAAGAGGTGGTCCCCATACTGCGAGAATGTTCCAGGATTCGAGGGGCCGCTCTCTTAAGGCCCGAGAGTGAGCCCCGGGGAGGACCAGCTGTCGTTTTACTGTAGGGTGGTTCCCTTTGATGAAGGTGTAGGTACCTGCTCCTGTGGAATCCCTTTCTACCGACGGACAGATACTAAGGCAGGCCGTTCAAACAGTGTTGAGTGAGGACAAAGCAGGGTGTTTCTCTCTGTAGTCGTTGCAACGTTCCTTGTGCTGGCTACCCCCCTCCCCTTCCCAGCCTGATAACATGCCCCGATTCAAGTTACTAAAGCCGCCCCCATGCCCGGTCCCCATGTCCCTAAATGTCACCTTGGTCTTTCATGGTGGGGAATCACTCCTTCAGTGTTGCGCTGCTGCTGGCTCCTGTTGGCGTGCATTTCTGCCTCATTCTGAGTTTAGTGACATCACACACCTTGCCCTATAGTTTCTTCTACAAAACCTCCTTTTTTGGGGGGGGGAGCCCATTGCCTTTGGGCTAGCTAGTCTGGTAATTTCTATTGTACTTGGTGGCCATAAACGTTTTACTGATATGGTGCTTTCCATTCGCCAAGTACTTCCACCTGTATTATTATCAGCTCACCTGCTCTTCCCACCCCCCATCCTCCACCCCAGCCCGCAACAGTGGCCGGAAGCTCCGCAGGGGAGAAAGGATTTCAGTCGCTCCTTCTGGGGTGACGCGGTGGGGCCGGAACTACAGCACAGATTTCCTCATTGCTCAGTGTGCACCTCATTTTATACCATAAGCTCGCCAAGGCTGGGGCACGAAGCAAAGACAACTGGCTTCTCCTTTACCTCTGGCTTCCTGGCTGTGTGACTCCAGGGCCCCCACTAACTTTCCTGAGCTTCCAGTTCCTCATCCGTAACGTGGCCAACCATCAATGCTGGGCTCACCGGCTGCGACAGGCTAAACAGGTGCTCAGGAGCGAGCGTGCTTTACCGAGCGGCCTGCGCCCGGCCAACGCGTCTTGTTTCATGTCCGTGGTCCCATCTGAGGCCGCGTGGAGACGGTGCCCGGGTCAGGCGCAGTGGAAGGCCCCGGAGGCAGCGGCTCTCGGGGCCTGCAGGGCCCGCGGCTCCTGAGCCTCCTTTGCAGTTGCTGTGGGGAGAAGCAGAGTCCAGGAGGGACAGAAACGTGAATCCGAGTGTTTCCCCGCTGATTCTTGCTTCCCAACAGGTCCGCCCGGAGCCAGTCTCCCAGCCCGGTCGCTCGCAGCCGCAGCCCAGGCGCTCGCAGCCCCAGCCCCAGCCCCAGCCGCAGCCGCAGCCGCAGCCGCAGAGGCAGCCGCAGCGAAAGCCGCAGCCGCAGTCACAGCCGCAGTCGCAGTCGCAGAGGCAGCCGCAGCCGCAGCCCCAGCGGCAGCCGCAGCCGGTCGGGCAGCCCCTCCAACGCGATGGTGAAGATCAGGACGCCGTCCCCGAACCGCGCCAAACTGTCCAGTGCGGCGCGCAAGGCCGCGCTCCTGTCCCGGTTCAGCGACGCCTACTCCCAGGCCCGCCTGGACGCGCAGTGCATGCTGCGGCAATGCATCGACAACGCCGAGACCGTGCAGCGCATCATCTACATCGCCACCGTGGTGGGTGCGGGGGACCTCTGGGCGCGCGCGGGACAGTGGGTTCGGGAAACTGAACAGCACAGCTGAAAAGGACTTAGATCCTGAGGTCCCCGCAAGAGGATGGGATTTCCATGCGTTCCCACCTCCCTTTTCTCCCTCCCTCCCTCTCCTTTTCCTTCCTTCCTTCCTTCCTTCCTTCCTTCCTTCCTTCCTTCCTTCCTTCCTTCCTTCCTTCCTTCCTTCCTTCCTTCCTTCCTTCCTTCCTTCCCTTCTTTCCTTCCTTCCTTCCTTCTTTCCTCCTTCCTTCCTTCCTTCCTTCCTTCCTTCCTTCCTTCCTTCCTTCCTTCCTTCCTTCCTTCCTTCCATCCATTGCAAGTATTTGGGATGAATCATTTTTTCACAATCAGTAACTATTCATATGTATTAATATATTGATATTGACCAGACATTTGTTGAAGGGTTTATAATTATAGGATAATCTGGAGTGGTTATATACCTTAGTCGATGTGCATGGAATCTTCAAAATGGGCATGGATATACCAGTGTATATATGATTGCTAATGGCTATCATTTGACTGACTTCCTTCTGTTCTTCGAAAGATCAGAAGAGTAGTTACCCACACTGGGAACATAGCTAGTTGAATATGGCAGATTACAAAGTGCTCATCTGTAATCCTTAGTTCCCAAAGCAATTAAGGGTTGTTCCTTTGGTACCATATTGAGATACTGAGTTCAACATGAGAACAATTAAATATTAAATAAAACAGGACATTGGTATGAGAGCAGAATGATCAGAATCTACTGACCTTTATCCTGTATTTATGAATTGATGTCATGAGTCAGCTAATTAGGACCTGCGGGCCATATCTGACAGTGACCTAAATTTCTAAGAAAAATACCACCCAAGAGCTAAGACTATAAGAATAGTTTTACATTTTTAAAGGGTTGTTAAAAAAAATGCGACACAGTATGTGACCAGCAAAGCCTAAAATACATATCTGGCTCTTTCCAGAAACAAGTTTGCCAGTGCCTGGTTTGAGAATCTCTTACGGGGTTGGTTAAAGTTCTGTGAGCATAGAGGCCATGTATTGCATGTATAACTAGGTTTTCTCAGTGCTGACTATATAACAGGCATTTAATAAGTGTTTGATGAATTAATATATGTCAAGAAACATGCCCAATACCTGCTATGTGTCTATGTATAGTAAACACTCAATTGATAATTTTTCTCTTATTTCTTAAGAGACAAGTAATATGGTGTTACTGTGGGATCATAGATAGCATCAGCTAGCATCTTCCAAATATTTATGTAACCACAGGTGATTTACTTCCTTGAACTTCTGTACCGTCCTGCACTCTGTATTACCAAAACAATGGTCCACTGTCTTAAAATGAGAGAACGTGAATGGTCTTATTTGTATTTATATCCTTTTCAAAATTGAGAGATATATTTTCTCCTAGATTAAAAATAGTTTTGACCATTTGTGTTTAGCTGTCAGAAAACCCATATGATGTTTAATTTTTGATGAATTTTTTCATTCCTTGCTTTGAACTTCTTTGCTCCTCTCGTCTCACCAAATAAATTTGCTGCAATTTTTATGTGCAGGAGGCATTCCATGTAGCTAAAATGGCGTTCAGACATTTCAAAATCCGCGTAAGGAAATCTTTGACACCATCTTATATGGGGGCAAATGACTTTGAGGATGCCGTCACGGATTATATAATTTGTCACCTTGATCTATACGATTCCCAAAACAGTGTCAACGTAAGTGTTGGGTCTCTTCTTGGGGCTAGTTTGCTGCTAATGATATTTACATGGAATTTCAATAACTCAGGAACCCATTCAGTGCTTCTTTAGGTAATGGAAAAGCAGAAACGAGCAGCACGCAAGTTACTTTGTAGAACCAGCCAATAATGGCTCGCTCTTTCTTAGACATTGTATGAAAGAAATATTTTGAGCTTGCTAGTTCTAGTCTTTAAATCAGTGATTTCCAACCAGTGTGCCGCAACACACTGATTGCTGCACGGATTTTTAAAACGTGAAATACCTGACTAGTTAGGGACACTGACCTCTTTTCCCTTAGATTGTCAAGTAAAAAAGATGACAACAGTCAACACAACAATAGCTGTCCACTGTGAATGAATCAAAATTATACCTATATATTTTTAAATATATTTTATTGATTTTTTGCAGAGAGGAAGGGAGAGGGATAGAGAGTCAGAAACATCGATCATAGAGAGAGAAAAATCAATCAGCTGCCTCCTGCACACCCCCCATGGGGATGTACCCACAACCAAGGCACATGCCCTTGACCAGAATGGAACCCGGGACCTTTGAGTCCGCAGGCCGACGCTCTATCCACTGAGCCAAACCGGTCAGGGCATACCTATATTTTTTTTTTTTGTCAGATCGGCAAAAAATAAATTTTTTTTGCTGTGCCGCAGAGTTTTAGTAATTAGTTTGTGTGCCATGAGATGAAAAAAGATGAAAATTACTTCTTTAGTTGGGCCCTTAAAATCGGAAGATAGAACATCATTGTTCCTAAGATTTGGGGAAAGATAGGTGTGGATTTGCATCTGGTTCTGCCACTTACTAGCTGTGTGACCTTGCACATTTACTTAACCTCTCTGTTCTTTAGTTTTCTAATCTTTAAATGGGAACAGCAATAGTCACGACCCCATCGAGTTCTTGAGGGGCTTAAATGAAAGAAAGCAGGTCATTTGCTTAGCACAAGACCTGGCATATAGTGAACTCTCAATAAACGCAAGCTATTATAATTGGTATTACTATAGATTATGAACAAGTCAGAGTTCTGTGTGGGCATTATCATATAACTTGCCCAGAATTTTAAAAAGGGGAAAGAATAAATAAAAGCTACTAAGGGGTTTTTCTTTAGTTTTTTTGAGCCTCTCCTGGCTGTTAATATGTCATTCGTATTCTGCCATCTTCTCCCGTTCCGATTCATAAGGCTTCCTCCTTTTAGCACATGCACTCCTCTCATTTTTAACTTGCGTTCACTCACCCTTTCTTTCCCCAACTCCATCGGTCATAATGTCCTTGGGGCTGTCAGAGTTTCTGGCCACAGGATGGTAACAAGGGGATGCCATCTTTTTGTTTTTCAGGACGTGATTCGAGCCATGAATGTCAATCCCAAGATTTCATTCCCTCCGGAAGTTGATTTTTGCCTCCTCAGTAACTTCATCCAGGAGATATGTTGCATTGCCTTTGCGATGCAGACTTTAGAGCCACCCCTAGATATTGCATTTGGGGCCGATGGAGAAATGTTTAATGATTGCAAGTAAGAGACACAGGAGCAGAAGCTTTTTAATAGAAATAAGTGATCTCGTCTCTATTTTCTGGGAACAATTTAGGGAAAAGAACACTGGGTGGGGAAATCACCAGATACTACCTGATTTCCAGGCCCTGCCATATACTTCTCTGTTACTACAGGACAGGGCCCTCTCCTGGGGTCACTTTCCTTCTCAGTCAAATGGGCTTCAGAGGGGACGATATGATTTTCATTGATCATATTGGTCTTGGGGAGAATTAATAAGTACCTGGAGCCTGTCTGGAACATTTTAAAAGAAAGGTACTGTATAAATACAAGCATGTATTAATGTTTATTGTTTAAAACTTTTTAATTGAGGTATGATTAGCATATAACTCTATATGAGTTTCAGGTATACAACATAATGATGTGATTTTTATGTATTGCAACAACTGTCACCAGACATGGTTACACAATTTTTTTCTTGGGCTGAAAACATTTAAGATTTACTCTTTTGGCAACTTTCAAATATGCAATACAGTATTATTAACTATAGTCATCACGGTGTACATTACATCTCTTGACTTATTTATTTTATACCTGAAAGTTTGTATCTTTTGACCCCCTTAACTTATTTTTCCCACTCCCATGCCTCTGGCAACAACCAACCTGTTTTTTGGTTTTATATAAGGAATATAAGTGAGATCATAATGGTTTTGTCTTTCTCTGTCTGTCTTATATCTCTTAGCATAATGCCCTTAAAGTCCATTCATGTTGTTGCTAATGGCAAGCTTTCATTCTTTTTATGGCTGAATAATATTCCACTGTATATATGTGTCACATCTTCTTTATCTATTCATCCATCAGTGGACACTTATGTTGCTTCCATTTCTTTGCTATTGTAAATAATGCTGCAGTGTACATGGGGGTGCATATATCTTTTCGAATTTGTGTTTCTGTTTTCTTCAGATAATACCCAGAAGTGGAATTGCTGGATTTTATGTTAGTTCTATTTTGAATTTTTTTGAGGAACGTCCATACTATTTTCCATAGTGACTGAGCCAATTTATGTCCCCACCCCCGCCACATTGCACAAGGGTTCCCTTTTCTCCACATCCTCGCCAACACTTATTTCTTGTCGTTTTGATAATAGCCATCCTAACAGGTGTGAGGTGACAGCTCCTTGTGGTTTTGAGTCACATTTCACTGATGATTAATGACGTTGAGCACCTTTTCATGTACCTGTTGGCCATCTGTATATCTTCTTTGGAAAAATGTTCATTCAGAGTATTGGCCCATTTTAAAATCAGATTGTTGTTTTCTTCTATTGGTTTTTATTGCGTTATTTAGACCAGGTTTCTCAAAGTATGGTGCATAGATCACCTGCATTGGAATTGCTCAAGATATTTGTTAAAACTGCAGATTCCTGGATCGCATGCCGTGATATTTTATGCAGTAGGTCTGGAGTGGGGCTTGGGAATCTGTAATTTAGCAGGCACCCAAGTATTCTCTATGCACACTAACATTTGACAATGATGCTCTTGACTCTTTTATCTGGGACCATTAGGTTTCTACCAGGTGTATCATGGTAAATATTTCCTTTATAAATGAGAAGAAATTAAGTTAATTTGGAACATTTTCCTGGGATTTTGTGAGATCTTAAGATACAGCTAGAGATGATCTGGGAGGAGGCCAGATGTCAAGCTACCTGGGCTCCAGTTCCATCTCCACCAGTAACTAGCTGTACAATCTGGGCATATCACCTAATTGTTCTGTTCCTTATTTCTTCTCTGTCAAATGGGGGAAATATCAACCCCTACTTCCTAGGGCTGTAGAAGCTTCATTGAAATCACTCAGATAAAGAACTTACGGACACTGCCCAGCATACTGTGTACACACAGGAGACACTAGCTCTGGGTCTTCATTCAGGCTGCAGAGGGATGGGTTGGTGCAGCCCCCGACCCATTGAGGCATAATTAACATACCTTTTGCTGATGCAAATCACAGCGGTGGTGTTTCTAAGTGCCTTACAGCCTGTCATATTTTCTTGCCATTGCCTTGTTTCTTTCAGATGACTGCCCCTGGCCTCCTCCACTCAAGGAAGAGCTGAATTACACTGCTGCTGGGTCTTTCTGATTTTCTTAGAGAACATATTTGCATCCCTCTTTTAAAAAATTCCTTCTTCTCTTAGAGAATGCCTGTTCCCATTTAGAAATATTCATCCCCTTGCCCTGGCCAAGTGGCTCAGTTAGTTCAAGCATCTTCCCATACACCAAAAGGTTGCGAGTTTGATTCCCGGGTTGGGAACAGGTATGGGACTCAACTGATAGATGTTTCTCTCACCTCGATATTTCTCTCTCTCCCCCCCGCTTCCTTTATCTAACCACTAGGGGCCCGGTGCATGAAATTCGTGCACTTGGGGGGGGTGGTCCCTCAGCCCAGCCTGCCCCCTCTCACATACTGGGAGCCCTCAGGGGATGTCCTACTGACGGCTTAGGCTCGCTCCCTGCTCCCCTTGGGGAGCGGGCCTAAGCTGCAGTCTGGCCTCCCTTTGTGGGAGGTGACCAGGCTGATCAGGGGCAGGCACCAGCCCCATCACCCCGCTGCTGCAGCCACTGCCAGTCACCGCAGCGACCAAGGTGTTTTCATCAACATGGACTCCAGTCCCTTCACCATGAAAAAATGACAACTTACTTTAGGCATTTTTTAGATGTGTCTTTCATAGGATATGACATTTCTTTATTATTTTTTTTTATCTTCACCTGAGGATATGTTTCCATTGATTTTTAGAGAATGTGGAAGAGAAAGGGAAAGACAGAGAGAAACATCAAAGTGAGAGGAACACTTTGCTTGGTTGCCTCCTGCATGAACGTTGACCTGGGCCCCAGTCAGGGAGGAGCCTGCAACCTAGGTACATGCCCTTGGTCAGAATTGAACCCAGACCCTGAGGTAGGCAGGCTGAGGCATTATCTACTGAGACAAACCGGCTAGGGCAGGATATGATATTTCTTAGCCCCTCCAGCAGCAGACCTTCATTTTTTTCTCCAGGAGTGAGGTGGAAAAACCCTACATCACCTTCTTGGATTCTTATTACCCAAGTTACTAAGAATATTACCAGTGGCATACAGGGAGCTTAGCCAATGAACGGTCAGAATAGGTGTTTCCTCTGTAATTCACACCGATCTCCGGCTCGGCCCCTGCCCAGACCTAAGGCCTTAGGCCGGGTGTTAGGCCTGGGCAGGCGACCCCCAGGCCACTCTGATTGCTTCCTAGGCCTCAGGCCTTTGGCCAGGGCATTAGGCCTGGGCAGGGGACCCCCAGCCCGCTCCGATGGCCCACTCCACCCCTGCCCAGGCCTCAGGCCTCTGGCCAGGCATTAGGCCTGGGCAGGGAACCCCCAGCCTGCTCTGATGGCCCACTCCACCCCTTCCCAGGCCTCAGGCCTCTGGCCAGGCATTAGGCCTGGGCAGGGAACCCCCAGCCTGCTCTGATGGCCCGCTCCACCCCTGCCCAGGCCTCAGGCCTCTGGCTGGGGTGTTAGGCCTGGGCAGGGTCCCCCAGCCCTGTGCGATGGCAGGCTCTGCCCCTGCCCAGGCCTCAGGCTTCTGGCTGGGGCGGTCACCGGCTCCGCCTCCCCAGGTGGCATCTGGCGCTGCCTGCCCCACCTCCCCGGTCCCCGATCTGCAGCCCGGATCCTGTGGGCGACGTCTGGTGCTGCCCGCCCCACCTGCAGTATGCAAATTTAGTGGCCATCTTTGTTGGGTTAATTTGCATACTCTTCTGATTGGCTGGTGAGTGTAGCGAAGGTACAGTCAATTAGCATCTTTGTCTTTTATTAGTGTAGATATCCTATGTGGGGATTAAAAAAAAGAAACAAAAGAAAGAAAGAAATATTCATCCATTTTGGTTTATGAGGTCCGCACATTTCCTAAACCTCTGGCGGGCCTCCTGCTTGCATGCCTTTATCAGGGGGAGTAGGCAGCATCTTGGAGCATCCTGTGGACTGTCCTGGTTGGCTGTGGAGCGGAAACTGGAGTTCTTAGTAACGATTGGATTTGGTTCTCCTTTTAGGACTTCACAGCACAAGCATAATTCTTAAAAAAAAAAATTTTTTTTTAAAAAACTCTGGCAGCCTTTCACACATTTAAAAGCAATTACTCAAATTCTCCTCCTTCTGGCCTCACGCCTTCATGTTTTTTCCATATGTAGGGGCTGGGGGTTGAGACTTCTTGACAAATATATCTGTTTCCTTGGCCTGTGCTCCATGCTCTGCTGAGCATCCCTTGTTAACTGAGTGTCCACACTGAATGCAGTCCCCTGGTTTGACTGGCCAGTCTGGAGAGACCAACACTCTTTCCATTCTTCTTCTCTATTAATTCAGCTAACTTTTTTTAAAAAATTGTTTTATTGCTTAAAGTATTACAAAGGGTATTACATATGTGTCCTTTTTTTCCCCCCGCCCTTGACAATCCCCTGGCCTCCCTTCCCCCTAATGTCTTATGTCCATTGGTTATGCTTATATGCATACATACAAGTCCTTCGGTTGATCTCTTACCCCCCTCCCTCCTGCCCCCCAACCCTCCCTGGCCTTCCTGCTGCAGTTTGACAATCAGTTTGAGGCAGCTCTGCCTCTGTATCTATTATTGTTCATAAGTTTATAATGGTCTTTATTATCCCTGAATGAGTGAGATCATGTGGTATTTTTCCTTCATTGACTGGCTTATTTCACTTAGCATAATGCTCTCCAGTTCCATCCATGCTGTCAGCTAACTTTTAAAGTTTTTTTCTCCGCCCCCCATATAACACTATTCACTCATTTTGAGTTCAACTGAAATCTGTTATTATATTTTTACTTGAGCTATGTAAGCCATTCATTACCTCTAACTTTGTAGTTAATTTTTTTTAATATTTAATTGCAGGAACCCATAGGTATCCAAATTACATGCTGTCTTATTAGATTTAGCTTATTTTCCCCAGCCAATTGAACAATTTCATAAAACAGTATTTTATTGATTTCAGAGAGGAAGGGAGAACGGAGAGAGAGAAAAAAACATCAGTGATTAGAGAGAACCATTGATAGGTTGCTTCCTGCATGCCCCACACTGGGGCTCAAGCCTGCAACCTGGGCATGTGCCCTGACCAGGAATCGAACCATGACCTTTTGGTTCATAGGTCAACACTCAACCACTGAACCAAACTGGCCAGGCGAGCTATTTTTTGATACTGTGATCTGTGTTGTTGTTTTTTTGACCCACTCCCCACCTTTGAGTGATTTTTCATGCAAATCATTGATGACAATATCGGTTTATCATGGGATTGAGAGAAAGCCCTTTGCACCTTCACTCACATTCTCATGGATTCATTAATTACCTCTCCTTGGGTCTGATCCTTGAACCAGTTTCCAACCCACCTACTTGAGTTAATCATCCATTTATATTTCTCCTGTTTTGTCCACAAAGGTAGCATGAAAAATCTTGTAGGAAACCTATGGGACTTCACATGGTCTCTAGCATTTCCCTGAATTGCAACTCTTATAATCTGGAGAAGAGAAGGGCATGATTAGCCTGGCATGACTTGTTCTTAGTCAGTCCATGTGGATCCTCCTTATCTCTGGTTCCTATTCTAAGGGTCTGTAACCATCTCTTTAATAACAGAATCAGGATCCATGTTTATCTAGTTCTAAGCATAATCAAAATGGAAATTTACACGGCTGTTTCCCCTCTTCCGGTTGTGCTACCTAATTGCTTCACTTCTCTTTCTCCTTCTTTTGTGTGTTTCAAATAGGTACCGTCGCAGCTATGACTCGGATTTCACGGCACCCTTGGTCTTCTATCACGTGTGGCCTGCCCTCATGGAGAATGACATCGTCGCTATGAAGGGGGAAGCTGTCACCAAGAGAGGGGCTTTTGTACGGTGGCCTTGCGTTGTGACAATTCGTCCCAAGTGTTTGATTCACAAGTTCGAGAACATTTATACACCCAGAGATTCTATAAAAGAAGCTCATAAAGAGTTGCTTGATAAGATTTCATGCAAAGGAGAGGAAAGGGATTGGCTGGGAGAGAGCAGATTCTTTTCTTTGATTCGTCCACAATTCTTCATAATTTCTTGGCAGTTATTTCTTTGCCTGTTGCTTTATTTATAAGATAGAACTAGTCCTACCTGCCTCCCCTATCTTAGAAATATTAAACCATTACAAAGGCAAAACCTTTTGAGCTCATCTTATGAGAGGCTCTCTGTAACGCTAAGCATTTAAAAGGGATAAACTTTCAAGAAAGAGTTTGCCAAATTTTTACTGATAAGTCGCCATTTCAGGAAATGATGAATGTGCCATTTTTCTCTCCTTGGTATGATGTGGGGAGAGGGGAGGGATGGAGAAAAAGTGGGCAGAGGAGGTGGAAGAGAGGGTCCAATCAGTTTTGGAAGTTAGCTTCTTGTCTACGGTGGCTATAGAATGTTTTGAGCATGTTAAATAATTGGACAGCCTTCAAAATAGAGTCTTAGTGTGACTTGGTATTGGAACTAGTGCCCACAAGTGCTGGACACGATGTGAACATGATGCAGTTTTGACCCTGCCCTTCCTGGAAAGAGTTAAGCCAAATTTGAAGTGAAGCTCCTCAGTCCAGATCAAAGCCACCATCCGGGTGACTTCTGTTCTGCACTCTTTGAGCTGGAGAACAGGGGACGTGTTTCAGGCAGCGTTCACCCATAGAGGGGAGGAGGGAAGTCGTGCATTGTAACAGAACTCAAGACAAGGGTTTTCGCAGCGGAAGCAGCCCACTCCAGCTAACTGTATCTCAATAAAACACTTTGTGCAATGAAAGTTGAGCCCATAGAAGTTGGGTTGTGCTGTGCTGACAACCACATGTGCTGTGCAATGAATGAGCTCATAAACCATGCTTCTTGCCCCTATGATAATCACTCCCGTTGAAAGATTCTTATTGTAGACTGTCTGCAGTACAATTTAGAAGGGAAGAAGAAGAAGTAGCCACTATTAGCACTTGCCTTTTAGTTTCCTTTGCTCTCATCAAGCATGGCACCAACATTTGCCTAAGCTTAAACTCCTCATACAAAATGAGAATACCCTAAAACAGTGGTCCTCAACCTTCTGGCCCTTTAAATACAGTTCCTCATGTTGTGACCCAACCATAAAAGTATTTTCGTTGCTACTTCATAACTGTAATGTTGCTACTGTTATGAATAGTCATGTAAATATCTGATATGCAGGATGGTCTTAGGCGACCCCTGTGAAAGGGTCGTTCGACCGCCAAAGGGGTCGTGACCCACAGGTTGAGAACCGCTGCCCTAAAAGGAAGAACTTGGAGAAGGAAAGGGTTGAATGAAGGGAAATTTTTAAGAAGGCTTTTTATTAGTGGGATCTCACTATAGTGAATATGTATATATCTATTTTCTTACTGATTAATTTAGTTGAAGAGTAGGTGGACAGCAATGGTGATTTACTTAGTCACTCAATTCATTTCATTCAACAATAGTTGCTCTGTAGTCATCTATAACACGGGTGCTGGGGTTCAGCAGTGAACAAAACAGACTCAGACACCTCCCACAGGGAGCTTACATTCTCCAACACTTGCAAACTTAATGCACTTTGCAACTTATTCATCAAAACAGAATTCTACTAGCACCAAGAGTTTGAATATCCCAAAGTTCATTGTAATGGGATTTTATTTGAGAAATACTCTAAAGTTATTGTCAAATATTGGGCAGCTGTAGTAAACGAAAGGAGTATGTATACCTAATGCTGATGACCAGTAATGGGCAAATGTAATCATATCAGCAAAACCTCTCTACCGGTGGGATATGCATATTGTCATAAGCCATGTGAGCATTTATGAACAATTGACTATATTTCTCTCTCTTTTTAGTGGAATTCTGTGCGACCGCTAAGCCGAAGTCGAAGCAGGAGTTTAAGTCCCATCTGCCCCCGTAGCCGTATTGGTATGAGCCTGGTAGGTATCTAATCATTTTATACAAAATCATCCTATGATTGATATTTTAAAATTCAACAGTAGCCTATCAAAGAGGTGATTATAAGTCTGTAGGTAGAAAGAGAACCTGTTGCAATAACCCCAAACTGATTTTTATGCTACTTTGGACTAAGGAATTGATCACCTAGAACAGCGGTTCTCAACCTGTGGGTCGCAACCCCTTTAGGGGTTGAACGACCCTTTCACAGGGGTTGCCTAAGACCATCGGAAAACACATATATAATTACATATTGTTTTTGTGATTAATCACTATGCTTTAATTATGTTCAATTTGTAACAATGAAAATACATTTTGCATATCAGATATTTACATTACGATTCATAACAGTAGCAAAATTACAGTTATGAAGTAGCAACAAAAATAATTTTATGGTTGGGGGTCACCACAACATGAAGAACTGTATTAAAGGGTTGCAGCATTAAGAAGGTTGAGAACCACTGACCTAGAAAGAAGTAGAGGTAGTCTTTTTGTTTGTTTTAAAGAAAATGGGCTATTAGGTGTCAGTTATAGAGAGTGGGACACCTTAGTCAACTGATCTCAGCACAGGTCCCTGCTCCCTCTGGAACTTACTCTGTGATTTGGAGAAACTGATCCAATAGTCTGGATTTCAGTACTGTATAGAGGGCACTGCAGGTATTAATTTTCCTCCCAATTTAAAAGTAGGAAAAATAAGATTAGTTTCCTTTTATATTAGTTCTTGAGAGAATGACTAATACTTCTGTCAAAGGGAAGAAGATAGCAATAACACCTCTGAAAATGAAAAAGGTTAGTATGATTCATCATAAATAAGTATGTTTATTTATTCAACAAATAATATTTAGTCAATGCCTTTTGAATACAGGGCTGGACCAAGACATGTGGACACCAGGCAGGCTAACAAGGTCCTGTCCCTTCAAATAAAAAAAATTAAAATGTTTGCTTCAACCTTGTTTTAGAGAGGGTGGTGGGAAAGGAGAACCACACCCACTTCTCTGAAGTTATCTCTAGCAACGCAGCTCTAGCCCCACACTTCTAGCCCCCCGCCCCCGGCAAAACAGAAACAAACCCCTTGTAGTGATAAGACCCACCTGAGTAGCCGAGTTTAGTGAGCATCTGTTGTTACGCCACCACTCCATTATGTTTGACATTTCTTCACCAAACATTCCTTCCTTCCGTATCGGATGGATGCTAGATTTCGGGATGGGGGAACGGGACACAAAAATAACTGAAACATGGTCTTTCCCATGGATGGGCTTCAATATTTTGTAAATAAAGTAACTGAATGGGGTATATGATTTGGTTCATAAAGAAGCAGGAAGTGCTAGAGTTATTAGGAGAGGTAAGATGCCTTCTGGGTTTGGTGGTGAGGAAGGGGTGCATGAGGGAGTTTCTATTAGATTTGGCAGAATTTCAGTGAGCTGGGGAATTGGGGAGAAAAAATTCTGATGAAGGAAGTGGCCTGAGAATGGAAAAGGCATGATTTTGACACAGTTCTTTTGCTCTTGGAGATTTTAATATCACTTAATGGTCCTCATCCAGGAATAAGTTTTACAGTAAGCAAAAGCAAAAGGATAGTGCTTTTAGTAAACTGATAAATAAAAAGGAAATCTTGGGAATTTTATCTGGAAGATCACAATTCTCCCCAACCTAAGAGGAAATGGCATGTCAGAAGAGAGCAAATCAGATATCTATGTGCTGACATCCCTGGCAAATGTTCCCTCCGACATGCCCCAGGGATGATGGGCACCATCCCTCTGCAATAAGCCCCTCTATGGTTCGACCTGCCTCCTCCTCCCCATTGTGTGCACAGGCAGAACAAAGTAATTTAAACTTTAGGTGAGAATAAACTATATTCTCAAAGGCGAAACTGCTGCCAAAATTCCGTCCCTCTCCAGCACCCCCTCCTTATAGCCAGTCTGGTACACCTGCAAAATGAAATGCAAATGTTTTTGGTTGATCTGGTGCTGGCTTATTTGAGGTCTTGTGTGCAGAACAGCTTCCATCTTCGCGAGTGCCTCTCTGAAGTGTTTGAGAGCTCAGAGCAAGAGTGAAGCTTGTAGGCGGTTATTTCTGAGCTGTAGCAGGTTTGCAGGCACAGGCGCTGGCTTTTGCTTAGTGAAAGTAAAGGTGAGATTTGAAAAATCAATTTTTTTTTTTTTTTTTTACTTGCCTAGTGACTTCCCTTCATAGGGCAGTGCTTGGGACACAGGGGGCAATTCATAGGAAGGATCTGCCAGACAGTATCTGACCGTTGGCGCTTTAATTCGTTAATAATAATGTTCTGGGAAGCTTTGAATTCATTATGGCCACTGAGCATTCAATCTCAAAGTATTTAGAAACCATTAAACAGCAACAACAGAAAGCAACAACAACAAAAACAAACGAAGACACTGGGCCCAGGTTTTAATTAATAATAATTTAAACTAAATCGAGTGCCCATTTATTTCAGGAAGTAAAAAAGGAAACGCGGTGCCCAGCCTGAGCGGGGAAATCACGTTCTGAAGTGTCTCAGAGCAACTAGCTAGCTGACGGTTCAGGGAAAAAAAAAGTCAAAGGGAATCATTCATCGGGCTCCACCTACTGTGTAAGCCACTTTCCACTTGTATATTTTCCAGATATCTCGAAGCCGGAGTCCTTCTCCAATAAGATGTGCACTGCCAAGTAAGTGGGCTGGTTTAGATGTTAGATAGAACAGTCTCCTGTTTTTTAATGCTCCTTTTAATACTCAGCCTTGTGCAGCAAAAGGAATGTTTTGCTTCACAGGGAACATCTTTTACCGCCACCTGACACCTTGTATTTCTGGATGGGTGGCCCCTGAGCAGGTCCCATGTGGGGGTGGGGGGTGGGGGGAGACATAGACGGAGCCTCCAATTGAGAGACTTGATGGACATAAACCTAGATCAAGCACCCTGCTTCATTTAGGTCCTACCAGGAGGGACCCTGCAGGAAGGGCCACAATGAACTTTTTTCCCCTCCCTAGGGTATTAAACCACCAGGCGTGTTCCTCTGCCACAGCACATCACCCGCACCAGCGCATCTGCACCAGCCAGCCTCCCCGGCGCCCGCCCGCCCGCCCGCTGTGTCTGCCGCACTCCTCACTTAGGATAATGTGAAAGGGCAATTCTGTGTATCACTCCACACAGAGACTTAAATGTTTTGGCTTGACGCATTTGTAACTTCAGATATATTGCATTTTATTTTATTTGATAGGTACCAACCCCATGACTTTGATAAAAACGATTGCATGGGTGTTTAGGATCACATTCATTCGAAGGAGTCCATTGCCCAGGTTCAGGGTTCTCATGGCAACTGGGTGAACGCCCTCGGAAAACCTTTACCATGCCGAGTCCAAAAGACAGGAGAGGTCGTAGTTTACAGTTTGATCATCAGCATTATAATTAATAGGATTAGCTCTAACTTGAAAACAAAATTGGGTGTTTTACTTTGCTTTTGAGGTTTGGAAGCCAGCCCTAAGCTCAGGTTGGGGAACTTGTAGCAGGAATGGTGACTTTAGGCTGCATACAGATGATGGTGAGTGACCAGGCTGTAGGTCATTCATTGGCTTGCTTCTGCTTTCTTACTTTGGGTGCCCAGTTTGGTTGAGCTGAGTACTGTACGTTGAAGCTACTGAGTTGAGAGAGTTTTCTCGCTTCATAAGTGCGGAGCAGTGATTTGGACAGAAGGCAGCATTGAGATAAATGTTCATTACCTTATGCTTATCTCCTGGGAATGTTTCATACAGCTTTAATGTATGTGTTAAATATAACAGCTACCTGGGCCACGCCCTTTCCCTATTCCACCTACTTGGTCACAAATTCAGACCTCCTATGAACTCTGTCTGACCCCAAATACCTAAACTCAAGGCCTAAAACTAGGAACACCATTTACTGATTTTATTCTTCAATTTCTTCACTGTGAAGTTCTGTTGTAAATTCAAGATAAAAATGGAATGTGGCTTTTCAAGATAAGCAATAGTCTTTTTAGGCTTTTTGTTTATTTATTTATTTTTTTACTTTAACACCGGCCTTGTACACAAGCCTGACAAATGACTGCTTTCGCCAAGTGCCTTTTAGAGAGGAACTCTGAATTGGCCACAGCTCAGCTTGCATCAACTCAGTGCCAATCCCAGCACCTGAAGCTTTTCAGGTGGAACCTCCCCGCTTCCCTGCCGAATTTCTCTAAAACATCTGTCCCTAGAGAGGGGGGAGAGATCGCCCAGTGCTGCCCTTGGGTGTAATGTCACCAGCGCATCCTGCAGGGTGAGTTGGTTTTCCCTACGCGGAGTATTTGTGTAGTTCTCTCTGCGGGGCCATGCAGGGTGCTAGAAGGAGAACCTGGTGTCGGGTAACTCCAGTTCCGTTTGGTCATTAGCTGGCTTTGTGGCCTTGAGCACGTTACTTCACCTCTCTGAGCCTTTGTCCCCTGTGGAGTGAGAGGCTGGATGAGATTAGTGGTTCTCTGCACCCTCCCAGTGTCAGTGCCCCCTTTTTCAAACAAATATTTTTTTTCTGGCAATTCTGAAGTGAAATTCAAAGTTAATGGGGTCAACATGACATATATTTTTAAACAATGAATATAATACCCTAACTGTAATAGGATGCAGTAAAAAGGAAAGGCAGTTTTTAAGAGAATAAAATGTATTTAATAGCAAAGCTTGGGTGTGACCATCTGGAAGACAGAATGAAGTCATCAGATGCTTTCACCGTGTGTAGCATCACAAGCTCCCAGGGCAGACCAGTGTGTGTTGCATTGGCAACATTCCACATAGGGTTGTCACTGGGTATGATTCTCTGAAGTGATAGACAGCTCTTGGAAAGTTTTGAACAAAAGTCTTAGAGTTGTGCCTTGTACACGCATTCCTGGAATAGTCGCTGGATAGTAAAACCATGCAACAATTACCTTTAGCTATATGTCGAAAGGTCATTTCTAACATCTCACTGAGTAAAGAGAATGCTTACATACCAGAATTTTCTTTGTGGAGTTGGATGTGGAAGTTCATGCCCTGATTTGGAAAAAGGACACCTGTATTCAGTGTATGTGCTCCGTACCCTGTCTGGCCACGTGCCCTTTCTCAGGTCTCCAGTTTGAACTATAACCACAACAGGGAATGGTGGGTAGTCTAGAGTAATTTTTGGAAAAAAATCCACAAAACCAAAGGAGGCCGACCTGTGCTCCTTTCACCTGGGTAGGCACCTTAACCTGAGTGACTTTGAAAAATGAAAAGCTCTTACTTCATAATCTGGGTAAATATTAGCTTCTGTATTATTGGTTTAATATCGAATAATAAAATTGAGGAAAAAAACTGCTTCTGTAACTAACTGTAGGTTCTTTGCTATAAAATGCTTTCCTTCCAGGTTCCCAAGGTCAGCAATGCCTTTCACCCACCCCCATTCTGTGGGGCCTGGAGCAGGGCGGAGTTCGTTCAGTGAATAATACCAGCTGTGCCCTGTCTGGTTAATGCTGTGATTGCTGCAATCCCATGCTGTAGCTCAATTGCTAGCTTTAGTTCATGTTGTTCACAATTCATTGTCATCATATTCAAGACGCTCTCTCTGAGTAGTACTTTACCATCCTCATGCAGCTTTCACTTAGTTATTTCAGTTGCTGCCCCAAACAAATGCAGATGTCTTCAGCCTTACAGATCAGGAACCTGTTCAATGTACCGCACAGTCCTCTTCCAAGGCCTTTCATTTTGGAATAATATTCTACCCTGTTTTCTTTTGTCCCTCCACGGCCTGTAGCATCAGTTCGTTTATTTACTGGTTCATTCGTTCATTCATTCATTCACTCATTCATTCATTCATATAGTCACCAATACTCATTTGGTGAGTACTTCCTGTGCGCCAGACACAACACATACTCTAGGGATATGGTGGTGGACGGGGTTCCGTCTCCAATGGCTCTTAATGTCATGTCCAGTTGTATTCTTTGGTGATTTCCCTGTCATAGAGAGCAGATATGATGGTGGAAAGGAAAAATGGAGTCCTACAGTAAATTTAAAAGAGGAAATGCCACATATTAACTGAAGAGATTAAATATGTTAATTTTTTTGGGGGTGGGGGGATACCTGCAATATAGAGAGCTATGCCAGGCAATGATGGAAGTGTGGTGAGCTGCACAAGAGAATGCAACTCAGTCATGTCATCCACGGTGAGTTACTCAGTCTTTTAACAAATACCTACTGAACCTATGATCCTAGGACAGTGATGGCGAACCTATGACATGCGTGTCAGAGGTGACACGCGAACTCATTTTTTTGGTTGATTTTTCTTTGTTAAATGGCATTTAAATATATAAAATAAATATCAAAAATATAAGTCTTTGTTTTACTATGGTTGCAAATATCAAAAAATTTCTATATGTGACACGGCACCAGAGTTAACTTAGGGTTTTTCAAAGTGCTGACACGCCGAGCTCAAAAGGTTCGCCATCACTGCCCTAGGATCATTAATCATAAAATGAGTCTGGGGAGGAGAAACTCATAAGATAAATTCCAACACTTCTCATTACCACGCTGCCATATTCCTGAGTAACAGGACAATTTGCAGACCATTATAGTTCACTTTGAGGCACCCCACAAACCTTCATGGGGCAGATTGCTGCCAATAACGTTCTATAAAGTTTTGAGTGGAAGAATTCTTAGTAGTATGACTTCGAATGGTATCATATCTATAATTAAGGGGAAAGGGAAGCAGAGCGTTTACGAAACTAGTATTACAAACTGCATTAGGTCACTGAAATGTGAGCCCAGGAACCATATGGGTGACATTTCGGTATTTGCCATTTAAATACCAAAGCAGTGAATTTTGTTGGCCTTCATACAGTCAGTGAACAGGGACCTTGAAAATGAAGCTGGAACTAATTTTTAAAATTAAAGATGGGACAATTTCACACTTAAAAAAAATTGCCCACTGGGTGCCAGCATGAATGTCATACTTTCCATAGTATCACTGGCAATTATATATCAAAACTGGGCAGCTAGCTCTCTTTTCTATTGGGTGAAAAACACAAGGATATGATAAATGAGTATGTTACAGCTTTATTTTAATATAGGTTAAGCCATAATTTTAGTGATACAACCAAAATAATGTCTTGAAATGTGATGTGAAATATGTTTCAGAAAAGGTTTTTAGTCACCGGACAATTATCAGAAGACCTTGAGCGTCGTTGATGAGTGGGACCCATTTGCAATCGATTTCTGGTGCTGCAATGCTGGCGATGAGACATTACACTTTTCTCTGTTGTCTTAGGCCAGAGAACAAGTTTCAGAGCCGTTGCTACAGAGCAACAGACTTCAGGATTGGATTGGCCTCGCTCTGTGGGCCGCAGGTTGAAGTGAGAATGGAAAAAGTTATCTGTTCATTCATCATTTACTCATTTAAGAAGCATTTGCTGCCCAGTTGGCGTGGCTCAGTGGATGAGCATCAACCTATGAACCAGGAGCTCAGGGTTCAATTCTAGTCTGGACACATGCCTGGATTGCAGACTCGATCCTGAGTAGGGGGCATGCAGGAGACAGCTGATCAATGATTCTCTTTCACCATTGATGTTTCCATCTCTCTCTCCCTCTCCATTCCTCTCTGAAACCAATAAAAAAATAATCAAAATAAATTTTAAAAAAGAAGCATTTGCTGATGCTTGTTAACGGAGGCCCCAGGCACTGTGTTAGGCTCTGGGGATACATCAGTGACCAAGACTTTCAGTTGTGGAGAAAAGGTGCTCACACTCGAGAGCAGTCTATGCCAAAGGGGTGGGTCTGTGCTCCCTCTGAAAGACAGGGCAATGACTGGTAATGAGCTCTTGTTTGGGAGATAAGCTGAAGTCAATTATACGTGGATAGGGGGTCGAATCAGTCTGCCATGCACTGCCTCCTGGAAGCCCAGACTTAGCACCAGGTGATATCTCATCAGGGAGGTTACCCAGCATAAAGTAATACATGATGAGAATGATCAGAGAAAATACAGATGCAGCTTAAATAATGGGCTAGAAATGTACTTACCCGTGGAAAAGACGCATTAATACAGCAAGAGAAGACACACGGTCGAGTTCGGAGAACCTACTTTCCACAGAAGTAAATTTAGGAGCCTTCCCAGGAAGGCCTCCCCACTCATGGTTTCTCTTGACATTTCACTTTTCAAGCTATGCTCAGATTTAAGATTTTGAAGGCTGTTAGAGCGCAAACGTGAATGCCTTGGAGCAGTAACCCCGTAGTACGAATTAGGTTTTAGATTCTCTTCTGAAAGTCTTATGGATAAAGGGAGAGATGAGGAACTATTAGGGTCCTTAGAACATGGTTAGAGCTCAGGGTATATAATGGAAAGGTTTTTCGCTTTGAATGAGATGGCCCAGGGCATGAGAACCAGGTTTCACCCCTCCTGCTGCTGTATTTGGTGTGAGCACAGACTTACCGGCCAGAGAAAGTTCTGTCTCCCCAAAGGCTGCTTCATCTTGGAAATGGTTGCTATGAATTAGCTGCTAGTATTTGTGTCCCCCACACATTTATATGTTGCAACCTAATCCCATTGTGATGGGATTTTGGGAGGTGGCAGGTGGGCTTTTGGGAGGTGACTGGGTCCTGAAGGTGGAGCCCTCATGAATGAGATTAGTGCCCCTATAAAAGGACCCCCAGAGAGCACCCTCACCTCTTCATCATCAAGGAGACAGCAGAAGACAGTCTTCTATGAGGGAGGAAGTGGGTCCTCAGCAGATAGCAAATCTGCTGGCACTTGATCTTGGACTTCCCAGCCTCCAGAACTGGAGAAATACATGTCTGTTGCCTAAGCCACCCAGTCTATGCCGTTCTTGTTACAGCAGCTCGAACAGACTAAGACAATGGTTATCTTTGATCCAAGACCCATTGGTATTCTTGTATATCCAGTGGCTGATGTGACACTCATTCGCTGGCCTTGACTTGATGTGACTGACTTCTAACCTTTCTTGGTTTTGATTTGAAATGGTTTAACTGAAAGGAAGAGGGTAGGTGTTTTTTGTTTTGTTTTTTTTCTGGGTGTTATAAATGATTGACATAATTTAATACATATACTTAGTATTGATAATCTGATGGAAAGTTTAAGATGACCTTAAGTTTCCCAGAATATCATCTGTAAAATACAAATAACTAGTACTTAACCTAACATTTACTGTATGCCAGATGTGTTAAGCACTTTATATTATTATTATTGTTTTAAATATATTTTACTGATTTTTTACAGAGAGGAAGGGAGAGGAATAGAGAGTTAGAAACATCGATGAGAGAGAAACATCGACCAGCTGCCTCCTGCACACTCCCCACAGAGTATGTGCCCGCTACCAAGGTACATGCCCTTGACCGGAATCGAACCTTGTGTCTGCAGGCCAAAGCTCTATCCACTGAGCCAAACTGGTTAGGGCAAGCATTTTATATTATTAAACCTGTTTTATAGATGGAGGAACTAAGGCTCCAGGTCATTATTAAGTAAGCTATCCTAGTAAATAAATGTTGGAGCAAAAGTTCAAAGCCAAGTTTTCTTATGTTGAACTCATACTCTTTTCACTGATTCTACAGGATAATAAGATGTCGATTGAAAAAAAAGTGTCTGTGGTCATGTAGGTTTGAAAAATAAGTTAAAAAAGGCTTTCCCGGGGTGGGAATGGCTGGGGGCAGGGGAGGGGGCGCCAATTGGGGAAAAAGGAGACATATGTAAAACTTTAGAGAATAAAAAATAAAGTGAGTTGAACAGATCTGCAGAGCCTCACTGTTTACTGTTCATGGGCAACTTCAAGGTCAATGTCATGTGCAGGATTCTAATTTATCCCACCATGGAACCCTTTTCTTTGCATGCAGCTCTTATAGAAGTACTGTGCTAGAAGACCTGTTTCAGGAAATGCTTCCTTAGGACCTATTTAATTTTTGAGAACTGCAGATGCTGCTGACCATTGGGAGTTAGGTTTTATCCATTTTTACAAGTGAAGGAAGAATCCTGACTCTTATCACCTGACAAGACTTTCATACAATAAATTAGTTAATGAAAGGCCAAAGCAAGACATGTCTTATTTATCCCTGTTCCTTATACTTCTGCTGATCTTTTCTTTTCATCTTATTTTCTTCACCCTTCTATCATTTGTATCATGAAATAAAATTCCCTTTAGCCCAATAGTTGTCATTGTTGTTTTTCCAGCATTCGTGTTTTTCCTTAAATCCCTCACCTTTGCATCTTCACTTCTGATTTATACAATACATCGATTTTATGAAAATGTCAAATAGTTATTTTCTAAATTTTTGAATGCTTGCGCTATTAAAGTGACAGTCGATTCTTGAATGATAAACTTCCAATAAGTCAGAGCTATGCTTTGATTTACATCTTATGTCGCTTCAATATACATGTTGACTTGTGTTTCCCAAATTTGTTTGG